TATATATATATATATATATATATATATATATATATATATATATATATATATATATATATATATAGTTTTTTCGTTTTACCTCAAAAAACCACAACAGTCTGTTTTATCAGTCTGATGATTCCTATACGGATGAAACAGACTGTTGTGGTTTTTTGAGGTAAAACGAAAAAACTATATTACGCTCTATCTATATGGTATTGAGCACTGTTTGTGTTTCGTAAACCAAAATCTTAAGCTATATATATTTGAGCACTGTTTGTGTTTCGTAAACCAAAATCTTAAGCTATATATATATATATATATATATATATATATATATATATATATATATATATATATATATATATATATATATATATATATATATATATATATATATATATATATATATATATGTATATAAACTTCTATATTTACATGTGCTAAATAAAACACATACGAACTCATATATATACATCAGTCATATACAGGTCCAAGGAATATTTCACTCATATTGATTTGTGGGGAATTCTGAAGAAGTCACAAGATATTTAACCTCTTCTGGAAATGAAATACAGAATGTTTGGACAAGCGGTGATTAAATATATGATTGTTTCGGTTTGTGTCAGTACTGTTTTGACGGCATTCGAGCCCCCGTGAAAAGGTTAGTTTATTAGGATTTCAATGGTATTCTTTGTTTTAAAGGGGGATGGATTCGCGCTGAGATACTTACGTTATAAACAATTGAATCGTGACTAATCGTCAAAATGTAGCCTACGGTGTAGACCCCAGCAGAAACACGTTTCGTGAGGGGGTCTACGAATAAACGAAGAAAAGCTTGCACGGCCTACGTCATATCCGTTTTACGTTTTGGGTAAATTAACTTCAATTTATTCAAATTTCTGAAGCAGTGAATCGTTCGAAAATGTAGATTTTGAAAATGTAAATTTTCATTTGGGGCTTTGTGCAATACAAATGTGTTCTTTACTTCAATGTCCCGTCGAATAAAAGCGATATTAATTTCGTGGACAGCAAGGAGACTGTACGTAAGGAGTTAGACAATCGAGGCATCGCGCGACCTTTCCTTCTCCATTTCGCCTACAAAAAGCATTTGTAAAGACTAAAGCATACCTGGCCGCCTGGCGTTGGTAAACAAACGGTAAAACGGAGAAGCTTCAAAGAACGGTTTAATATGTGAGCTAGAGCCTAGACAATACGATAACAAACGTGCACGAAACAGCATTAAACGCTATATATTGGTGTACCGCTTAAAGTAAAGCGAAATGTCGTGAGGAAACTGAGATTCGAGCCGACTTGCGATAAAGCTTTTATGCTGGCTACATTTAGTGTGAAATCGACTTTGTCCTCGGCTTCAGAAATTGGATGTCTTTACAAGCTTCAAGTATTCAACAGCTTAAATGACAAGAACTTTTTAGTCCGTTCGGACATGTGTTTAATGGTTGGGTATATATATGGCCCGGGTTTATTTTATTAGTTTTATTGCACAAAGCCCACCATGGAAGATTTTAATAAGCGCCATATATGAAAATTTACATTTACGCACGCTTGACGCTTGAGAAATTTGAATAAATTGAGGTTAATTTACCCAAAACGTAAAACGGATATGACGTAGGCCGGGCAAGCATTTCTTCGTTGATTCGTAGACCCCTCACGAAACGTGTTTCTGCTGGAGTCTACACCTTAGGCTATCAAAATGTCGCTTGACGAAAAAAATATAAATCTCATCAAATTACAAGATCTAGTCAATATTTGCACTGCTGCTCTTATGTTTAAGTTTCACAACTCTCTCCTGCTTTCTACATTTAACCTCTTTTTTGTGCATGTTGACCAACTACATAATTATAATACAAGGTAATTATCAGCATAACCAATCTTATTCTCTTCCTAAACCAAGAACAAATTATGGTATGTTTAATATTAGATTTCAAGGGCCTAAAGTATGGAATTCTATTGATAGTGAAACCAAGACCTCATCTCTGGCTTTTCTTAAAAAAAAATAAATTTTCATATATCGAAAGCTATTAAACGATAGTAGCTTGTGCACCCTTTATTATTAATTAACTTAAAAATTGTTTCCCTACTTGGGTTTTCGTGGGTTTTTTTGTTTTTTGTTGAGTTAGTATTCTGTACACTATTCCGACCGACCGATAAAACTTATTTAATATTTATGGTTTTTACCAATACCAACCTAGTCAATCTAAAAAAAAATAGGTAATATATAATATATATATATATATATATATATAATATATATATATATATGTATATATATACATATACATATACATATACATATACATATACATATACATATACATATACATATACATATATACATATACATATATACATGTATATATATATATATATATATATATATATATATATATATATATATATATATATATATATATATATATATATATATATATATGATAGGAAGTAAAATAAATACATATTTTATGTCTCTCAGGTAATATATAAAAGATGGAGTTCTCCGAGAGCAATATCACATACGTACCCTTTTCTAGATATTACATATTGTTGGATAATTGAAACATAACAGGTAACATTTCATGTGGCGTCACCTTAAATAAGCGTACGAATGTGTGTGTGTATTCCTTCCTTTAAGTGCCCATCCAGGGTCACAAGGCCTGGACATTTGCTTCGGTAAATGAGCTCACGAGTGGAGGAATGCTATCGTATGTTAATCTTTGCTTTTAATTTTGCATATATCTAGAAAAGGGTACGTATATGTGATATTACTCTCGGAGAACTCCATCGTTTATATATATATTTATATATATATATATATATATATATATATATATTTATATATATATATATATATATATATATATATATATATATATATATATATATATATATATATATATATATATATATATATATATATATATATATATATATTACGC